GAATGGAATTATACTGCACCAACTGAGTTTATTTTTATTGGCTTCACAAATTATCTACCACTCCAAATCATTCTCTTCCTTTTGTTTTTGGTCATCTACATTTTGACCTTGGTGGGAAACACTGGTGTGATAATTCTGGTCAATATTGATCCTAATCTTCAAACTCCCATGTATTATTTTCTTAGTAATCTCTCCTTTCTAGATATCAGCTACTCCACAGCCATCACTCCCAAGATGCTAGCAAACTTCTTAGCTTCTAAGAACATTTCCCTGTATGGTTGTGCCCTTCAAATGTATTTCTTTGCTTGCTTTGCTGATGCAGAATGCCTCATTCTAGCTGCAATGGCCTTTGACCGCTATGCAGCTATCTGCAAACCATTGATGTATTCAACACTTATGTCCAAGAAAGTGTGTGTTTCCTTCATTGTCTTGGCTTATTTCAGTGGAAGCATGACATCACTAGTTCATGTATCTCTGACGTTCAGGTTGCCATTGTGCAGATCCAATGTCATCAATCACTTTTTCTGTGACATACCACCATTACTAGTGTTGTCTTGTGCCAATACCTCCCTCAATAAGATGCTGCTCTTTGCTTTATGTGGCTTCATCCAGACCAGCACTTTTGTGATCATTGTCATTTCTTACTTCTGTATCCTCGTAACAGTCCTAAATATTAAATCACCTGGAGGTAGAAGTAAAACCTTTTCCACTTGTGCTTCCCACCTAGTAGCTGTAGCTTTATTCTATGGGACACTTCTGTTCATGTACTTACGTCCCACCACCAAATACTACCCAGAGACAGATAAAGTGGTTGCTGTTTTTTATACTGTGATCTTCCCCATGTTGAACCCTTTTATATACAGTTTGAGAAACAAAGATGTGAAAAATGCATTCCAAAAAATGTTGGACAGAATATCTCCAAACCAATAGTGCCACAGAATAAGGAATTTCTCAGGATTTTGAAGCTTAAAAGGACCCTAGAATATATGTAGCTTAAAGAATAACTGTTTAGTAATCTACTTTATTACACTCCCAACAAATCAACATCTAACGATGACCTGAAGAGCTCTAGTCACTCCACCATTCTCTGAGAAAATTTATTCTACTTTAGGATAATTTTAAGCATTAAGGAATCTAATTGGGAATGAAGGGAACTGAATTATCATGAGATCAGATTCCCAATTTTTTAATATGACATACCTCTCTCAGACATAAAGGTTTTTTTTTGTTTTTGTTTTTGTTTTTTTTACCAACTTGGTAGGAATTGACATGGTCATTAAAGGAGAACAAAAATTAAAAAGCTAAGTTCCTTAAAATACGATCCAAATTACCCCTTGGAAAACCATTTAATTTTAGCTGCTAGCATGTCATGGGAAAACAATAGGAGATTAATATGTTAGACTCTTCAATTGCACACTGGGCATCGAGCAAAGCTGGCTTGGAAACTGAAAATGTATGGTACTACATCTTGGGGAATCATCCTCAGTAATAGGACTGGTCAAAGAAAAGCAAGAAAGATTTCCCTTTCTTTTCTGAATTAAGACACAAGGCATTTAATATTGATTAGAGACCTGACAACAGAGGTCAGAACATCTGATTCAAATCTTTCTTTTGACATATGCTAATTATGTAAAACCGACCAAGTTATTTAATCTCAAATTGTCCTGGGAAAGACCTAAGATTTTAAGTTTTAGATAATGATCTAACTTGCATTAATAGAAAGAGTGACCTTAGTTAGACATTCTCTACACAAGTGAAATCACAGGTCCACTATGTATTCCTTCTGAACAAACATAGGAGTCATGAGCTGGAAGCAGTACTGCACTCAAAGCACTCAAAGCAGCAAGCACGCAAAGAAATCTCTTATTCAAGAAAAACCCAATCCAGTTAACCAGATAGACATAATAACCTTGTGTTTTACTGAATTTTTTTTTTTTTACTTTTTGACTGGCTGCTCTGTCAAGTAGCTGTTCATCCTTCATTTTTGAAGAGGACCAATGACATCATGGGGTGATGCCTTGACTTGATTATGAATTGGATTTCAGTGAGGCAGAGCTGCACAATGCCTTCAGCTTCACTTTTAGCCCCCTGAGTCATTGAAATCCAGTGTCAAGACAAAAGTCAGGATGACTGGTGATGACCCAGGATGCAGTGGATGACCTTGGTGTCTTTTATGTCTGACCAACCTCTAGCTTCAGCTGCCTGTGTTACTGTTGGAACAAATTGTTCTCATTCATCCATTGCACTGCTGGAGGTCTTCTAGTGCTTGGGGTAAACATGCCCTTGCTTTTTCAACATATTTGAGGCCTTTTGGTTACCCTCAACTTGACTTACCCTTTCTGCCAAGACAGTTCTACTAGGATATGAATGCTACCCATGCTATAGCTTCTTGGAGACCCAGGTGAGAGTTAGGCAACAAGTAGAAACCAAAGGTAGATGAGCAGCCCTGAAAAGGGCTGAGGTGTTTGTCCTCCCAAACACCACATACACCACAGTCTTCAAGTCTCCAGGCTTGAGAAATTCTAATTTATTTGTAGGGAAAATATTGCTTAAATTGTAGCAATTGTATTGTTACTTGGAAGTTTTCCAGAGGCAAATGAATCAGTGCAGAGACTAAACCATTACAGCCTAAGTTAACAAAAATGAAATATTTCGTTTCCATATTTTGCTAGTTAGCAAAAGTAGTAGTAGACTCTGGGTTTCCAGGGAACATCTCAGTTGATTTTATTATGTGATTTCAAATAGTATTATATCATACAAAAAAAATCAAAGGAATTATACATGACAGTCATTGGTATAGGATGGGCTCATCTGGAACTGGCTCTGGTCTATAATCTATTTTTTCGTGGCAGGTTGTTCTGCTTCATGACATCACCTGATACTTTCCTTTCCTTTACCTTTCCCCCCTCAAAAAAAAAGTCTGAGAAAAATGAAACCGCAGAAATGAGTTTTCTTTAATGATGGAAATATTGATTGATTCCAAAATGTATGTAATCTAGAGCTAACAAGTGGCAGTGATATCAAAGTTAAATAACACCAAGAACGTTTCTTCATAGACCTTAAAGATTGGTAGGACATTTAATAAATACAAGTCATTTTAATCAAAACAAAACTTATTCATCAAATCTAAAGCTAAACGGGATAAGATTATCAGGCTGGACCAACTTCAAAAAATTAAAAGACTATTTTAAGAACTCCAAGCTTATGATACTAACAAAAGCCTATTTTTAATTTTTTTTTACAAACTAATACCAACCATCTCCCAGTCTTCCTAGATGTCAGCAAGATATATAAGACAATCGTGTATGAAGGAATAAAACTGAAGACAGTGGAGACATCCCTGCTGTGTGTGAATATATTGTAATCTGTAGCCAATGATGAACTTCAAAGAAGAAATGGAGTAGAATATATCAAAGAAATCTATTAAAGGAGGACAAAGAATGGTCATGAGGACAAAAGATAGCAAAGTGTTCCAACACTGGGGTCTTAAGAGAAAAGATAGGAATTTTCTATCACATTGAATCTGATAATCTGATGGTGATACTCCATGTGGTAGGAATGGAATGGTCGGGTAGAGTAGATGAAGGTAGTATAGAAAAGGGGAGGAGAAGGAGTGAAGGATAGAAGAAAGGAAGAAAAGTATTAAGGAAGGAAAAAAAGGAATAAAGCAAGATATGAAGGAAGGAAAGAATTTATTAAGGAAGGAAGCCAGAAGAAAGGAAAGAGGGAGAGAGGCAAATGAGGGATGAAAGGAAAGAGGAAAAGAGAAAAGGTTAAAGGTAGAAACTAAAGCAATCAAATAAACACACATTCATTTACATGTGATATGTTCTAGGCACTGGGATCACAAAAACAAAAAAAGAAAAAATAAGGCATCCTTGTTCTCATGAATCTTATGTTTTGATGGAAGAAATAGCAAACGCAAGTGTGTATGTATTTATGAATATATGTATTTTAGTTGTATATAAATACACACATTATATATATACTTATACATAAACAAACACATATATACACACTCATAATCACACAATTCTTTAGGGTAGGATGAAAAGGCTTTATGTAGAAGATTGCTTTTTTGCTCATCCTTGAATACTGTGAGAGATTCTAGTGGTGAAATATGAGATAGCAATCCGCTCTATTTATGGGAGACTGTCAGTGAAAAGGTGCTAAGGTAGGGGATGGAATGTTGTACCTGAGGAATAGCAAAGAAGCTAGTTAGTCTTGACCACAAAGTGTGAGTAGGGGAGGATTGTGTGAAACTGGAAATGTTAGTGGGCGAAAACTTATAAAGAATTCTAACAGTAAAAAAAAAAAATGAGTTCGCTTATATTTTATGTAGAGGAAAAAAAAAGGAAGCACTAGATTTTATTGAATAAAGGACTGACATATTCAGATATGTGCTTCAGGGGAAAAAAAAGTAATTTTTTTCCAGTTTTGTGGAAGATAGATTGTATTGAAAAGGGACTTGAAAGAGGAAAAACAATTGGAAAATCACTGTTTATAGTTAATATTTGAGGTGACAAGGGCCTGACTTAAGGTGGAAGTTAAATGAGCATTATGAAGGCAATTGATTTGATTGATACCGTGGAGGTAAAGATACATCCAATCATTGTCCAGAGATTCAAACTTAATCAATCTATTGATCAAGTCACATGCAATGTTAAGTCATATAAAGTGCAATCAAGTAGCAAAATCATAAAAGTACCTAAGTATAGGAGCCCAGGAGGTTTCTGATCCAACCCATGACGTAGGTAAAATCCTCTCTACAAAATTGTAATAGACAATTGACTCTCCAATCTATATTTGAAGACATCTATTTATTGGGAACCAAATATGTAGAAATTAATATAAACCCCTTTCTACACTTTATGCACTGTACCATGAAAACCTTGCTCTGGTGACTCTGTAAGGTTAATTGTATATTGATTTCCCAATCCCCATTTAAAATAAATTACCTCTGTCACTTTAACTTTGTGGAAGAGGAAATCTCTTTTGCCATGTTATAGACCTACTTGTGGAGCTTATATAAAATGAGAAAAATAGCAGATTATTGGAGATTTGAGAGGTGGGGGAAAGGTTGAAGTCCTTAAGCCAAGCTTATGAAAAGGAGTACCACAGGATGGAGGAGAAGAGCCCTGGTCATGGCCTTGGGCTCTGTGTCAATAGGAGGGAAGTCTTACAAATTTCAGACCATAGAAAATTGGGACTCTTCATCTATATCCAAGGAGTAGCTCTGCAACAGGAGTGATTCTGTAATGCCTGCTTTGGGAGCAAAGTTGAAATCAGAAATACTGAGAAAAGCAGTGTTCAGGATTATGTAAGGAGTTCAGTAAAAATAGAATACTTAGGGCTCAGGGAAACTTCATGAGTATTCCATGAAGGGGATAAAAGACCTTCCAGAAATGATGGTGAGCAGTAAGTTATCCTCTGCCACATGAACTCTCTAAAAGTTGAACATAGATTCTCCTGGATTCTGTAGATACTTATGGGAAAGTATGACACAAATTTTGGGGAAAAATATTTCAGATTAATTATACTACTATGGTAAATATTGATTTCCTAATTTCTTAAGCTGGTCTGACTAATTGATATTAACTGATAATCATGGTGGGAATACATTGATATAGCCTTGTGAACTATAACTTTGGAAAGACTAACCTCTTAGTAATTTCCCTAGAATTCTGAGAAGAAATATAAAAGGCAAATATGAACCTAATCTGCCAATATGAATGGGATGTAGAGAGAGTGAGTTTAGCCAGGAATTCCTGATCTAGGGCATGATATGAAGTTAGGACATAAATCCCTCTAAAATAAAGAAAAATAGAAATATAGGATTCACCTTTTGTCAAACCATAATGAAATAATAATTATATTCAATAAAGGAACATGGAAACAGATTAATACTTAATTGGAAACTAAATAATCTG